TGAAATTCTGAGGAAATTCCGGAAATTTTCGTTGATTTCTGAAAATTTCTACCCGAATTTGTGTATAAACTTCTGTACTTGATAAAAAACTCCTAAGATCAGCTGAGGAAAACAAACATATATTCCTCCAACACTATCGCGGAATATCATGATGTTTTTTCACCTTTTTTGACCTTTTTTTCGGTTTTTCGGTTTTTTGCACTTTTTTCACTTTTTTCACGTTTTTTCCAATTTTTTCGGTTTTTTCAGTTTTTCCCACTGAAAAAAAACAAACTTACAATGTTGATCGATGTAACTAGTAGGCATGAACACCGCAAGGGATCTGAGGTTGATCGTTGCAAGATACAGAATAGGTCCGCTGCTCACCCCGAAATGGGAAGTGCTCCAAGAACGTTACAAATATTATTAATGCAATCGATCAACCACTGAGTATGTTGTTTCCTTCTATTCTCGCAGATTTCCGCATCTTCCACAGTAGTCGCCAAGACAAGGCACTTCCTGAAATGTTCTTCAACACAGAAGTTTCCATTCAGTGTGGGAATATATTTTTTCGCTTCCTCTGCTGAGCTCGTGAGTTTCCTCACTGAATTGTGAAAATTCACACATGATTTTGGGTAGAAGTTTACGGAAACCAACGAAAATTTCCCAACATTTCCTCAGAATTTCCACAATTTCACCAACACATGTAGTTGGCCGTGTGCATATACTCCCGTCAATTTACTCCTCTGTGGTTTTCACCAACTTCTCAAATGCTTCCCAACAGTGCTTGTCCGTGATCTCACTCACACGATTGCACACGTTAGGAGAGTTTTGCTGGTATCTGTTGACAACCTGCGTAAACAGCGAAACCTGCCTTCTCACGAACAGTGTTATAAACTATGTTTGGCTCAGGAGTTTTCTCACCAACATATACCCCAAAAAATCCCGATTTTTTTGAGAATTTCATCACCAACACATGTTGCTGGAAAAATATATGTTCGCTTTCCTCATCTGAGCTCAGGAATTTCCTCACTAATCATAGAATTTCACATACGAATTCGGCTAGAAATGTACAAAAACCAATAAAAAAATTCCCAAAATTTCCCCGGAATTTTCATATTTTCACCAACACATGCACATGCCTTCACACTGCTTACGCCCACTGCCCGTCCGAGACCCCACAAGAGGTTCTGTCAGTATCGTAGTTGTCCTCACAGACATCCTCCGAATCTATCTGAAATTCAAAATCAGTTTTCTCGACTCCAGCGTATCACATGTGTTGGTGACAATATGGAAATTCTGCAGAGTTTTACGGAAATTCTCGTTAGTGTCTGTACACTACCAAATTAGTCTGTAAATTCCCACATTTAGTGAGGAAATTCGTGAGCTTAGCTGGGGGGAGTGAACATATATTTCAACACTGCTTAGCTCACATTTATATTCCAATTACACGCTTTAGGTGACCGTAAAATGCACGCTTCTGCCGAGTCGTTTCTCGAGAACAGATGAAGATCATAACCTGACCATACCTATATCTTAGTTAGGATGCCTAAAGATGTTCTCACTTTCGAGAGGAACCTTCGGGCCAATGCATTTCCCCACGACTCCGACTTTTACCAGCAACTCCTCAGCAATCACTAAGCATAAAAATAACGGTGACACGAATCTACATACAGTAGACGATCGTGTCACCAGCATATTTTTTCAGAGCTGAAATTTCGTATATAGGCTCTAATAACTCTAATATTGGAGTTTCACCCGTGATATGAAAAACACTAGCGAAAGACATATTTCACATTTCACTTCGCGCGAAAAACGCATGCAGAAGTGATGTGTTATTCGTCCGGTGTAATTCGGCAAGTATTTTCACTTCACTTTATATCGCGGTTT